TCTCTAGAAGGTGTAGGAACCTGAAGTTAATTTCACTGATAAGAGTTTAGTAGATGCTAGATGAAAGGTAGGTCTTCAAGAATGTGGGTAAATTCAGCCCAGCAGCCAGAGGTGATAAGCAGAAGCAGTTGCATCCTGTCAGGGCCTGATCCTCCATGGTGATAACATGCATCCTCAGGGGATCCTGGAGAGGCAGCCTCCATCCCCTCTGCTTCATGCCCTCCTCTGCCAGCCTCAAGCTTCTCACAGACACACTTATTTTTTTTTCTAGTTCACCCAATTTTCATCACTGGGATCAGGGTAAAGGCATTTCCCTAGAGAGATGAGGAATTGAAAATCTTTTCTTTCCTGGGTTCTTAATCTTCCTTCCTGGAGACCCTGAACTTGGCCCAGTTTGAATGCCTTCATCACTTTCTTCATAAAATTATCTTTGCTCTGGATGCACAACTATATTTCATCAAATGTTGCATTTCTCTTTGCCCTGAACCTTACCCACACTGTCACTCATATCTGGGAAATGGATATCCAAGAAATATACTAACTTTCCTCAGTTTCTTTTTTTTCTAAATCTTTTTAACAACAAAAGTATTCCACAGAGCAACACAGGGGTGAGAACACATCTTTGAAACTGTTCTGTGGAATGTGAGATTCCAAAAAGTATCGAGAGAGATGGTAACAAAAGGATATTTGAAAAACTTTATTTCACTACAACCCAGTAAATGTTTTTTTGAAGTATCTAAGAGGTAGATGTAGACTCTGGTGTTCTCTCAGGGTCCATAGTACATAGAAAACCAGGACAGAAAAATCTGCCCATCTTTACTCTCTGAGATCATTAAAGGTTCTACGATTTTCAGAACTGAAGATACTATTTAACTCCACTTACTGTTTATTACCAAACCTATTCAAATATGGAAAATGTCCCACCCTTTATTACTTGGGATCACTGCTTAAGAAATGCCCCAAAGCTCTGTATGACTTAGTCACTGTCTTCAGGATCTTGTTCACCAGGGAGAGAGAAAATATGTGTGCACATAGATAGCAAGAATTAAAATATAGTGAGCTCATTTGGCAGAATGAAAAAAGTATCGAATTAAGTAAAATCCATCAGTCTACAGACTTCCCCACATATGGCTATTCATCTTACCTGATTGTCCCTCTTCAAAACCCTCCTGCCTTCTACATTAGCACTGTTAATATTATGGAATCTTCTCCAGAGGGAGAAGAAGGGCTCCTAAGTTTATGAAAATGCATGCAAATTTAAAGCTAGATATTTACTTATCAGGGGACATGAAGACATTAAAATGATTGTTTTCCTTGCAACAAAAGGCTCAGCTTCTCAGAGGAACCACAGTTCTTACAAAGGAGCATCTGGCTCCATTAGAACTTCCCCTTCCCCTTAGGGGTGAGTCCCAGGCTAGGAAAAAAGGAGCAAAGTTTTCTGCACATCTTGCCTCCCTGGAATACATCTAGTACCTTTTTAAAGTTATGTGAGGAGGTAGGTAGACTTGTAGGTTGTCCTGGAAGCTGTGTAACAATTCCTTTTTATATGAGAATATACACTTTGAACTTCAAAAACTTTTTATGTTTTTATGAAGACTTATTCAAACATGACTGATCCATAAATGATCATTTTCATGGTAGTCACACATCTATATTTGTATAATAATAACATATTTATAAGACAGCAGGAAAACAATCCTGAAGAGGAAAACTTTGAAGTTTTAGATAAAATAATACAGGATATATGATCAAAGGTGGAGCAACCAGAATGGCTGCCTTTCTGGGAAGGCTTCTTTCTAGGAGAAAATCTCTGTGAGGTGGGGATGCAACAATGTTTCTGCTTAACTCATTTTTGGATTCATTTATAGGAAAATCCTCAAGGACCTGAACATTGCAATGCACACTCTTAACAATTCATACTGCTCTACATATTCTTCAAATGTGTATCCACTAGTCTGCGAGACTGCAGAAAGTAAAACCACCAAAATTATCTCATTATTACCAATTTTCTTTCACAGCACCTTAGATAATATTTTCTATAAATACATCCTTCTAAAAATAAAATAATAAAACTTAATGAATGTGTAATGGCCATAATAAGTGGGATTTCATAGAGATTAGAGGTTACATTGCTAAGAATATGGATCATCTGTACTTCCTCTTTCCTTAAAATGCTGAGGACCAGTTTGGCCATGACAGGGATTGCCTTTAGTCCTTTTCCCACTTAATTCCCAAGAGTTTCTTTTGTATTCCTAAGATTATTACTTGAATAAACTATCCTTAGTTCTCTTCATAGAATAGATACCAAAAGGTTTTATTAAGGGTACTTCTTTTAAAATCTGAGGTGAGGGCTGGGGATTTAACTCAATGGTTCCACCACCTGTCTTGCAAGTGCAAGGTCCCCAAGTTTGATCCCTGGTACCAAAAAAAAAAAAAAAAAAAAAAAAAAAAAAAAAATCTGAGGTGATATTAGGCAAATGATTAACATGGCTTATTCTGAAAGGCAGTGTGATGATACATTTCATGTATTTGCTTATGTCTATAAAAGTTGGGAGTAGATTCAAAGTTCATTCATATAGGATCAAAAAGCTGCAGATTTCATAATGCCTCCTGCTGCTCTTGTGATACGTTGTGCAATGCATGGACTATATTGTCCAGTGGTTCTTGCTGACAGAAAAACACTCCAAATGACAACTTTTTACCCCGGTTTGTTGGGCACCATTTCTCCCAGGTGCTTGTAGCTCCCCCTTGGGTGGGTGGGGGTGGTAACTGCCTGAGCAGTGCATCAGCAGGTATTGAGCCCTTCTTCTGCCTATGGCCCCATTGTTCACTCTGCAAACTTGTGACTTTTTATGTCTAGGCACATTGAATTCAACCTGTCATCTACTTATTCCAGTTGTTCTATTTAGATGAATTATACACGATTGCAAAATAGACTTCAAAACTTGTAAATGTTCTTGAGTTCTAGCGTTTTTCCCATGGTTCTTATTGTTTTCCAATGACTTGGTGCCACACTGAGAGGAATCTCTGAGAATATGAAGAGTTCAAAAATTGAGTATAGGTGAATGAGTGGCAATAAATATTATCAAAGGATACAGTACAAAGAAAGTCAATCTGACTCTGAGAGGAACTTTGTCTTCTAAAAGTTAGAAAATGAGTTGAGAAGACCACAAGTTCTACTACATATATGGGATAAATCTCTTTATATCTTTTGAATATGTCCTCATTTGGAAAGTGATTAAATTATGCTGACCACTCTCTAAGATTTGTTTTACTTCTGAATTTAGCTTTCAAGCCATTTAAAAGGTTAAGTAACATCACATCAGGGGCTTCTGTTTGTTTTTATATTTGATTATATAATATCTCGTCCATCACTGGCCTACTTGCAAAACAAGTTATCCAGCTTTCCAGATTCTCCTTTTAATCAATTAGGGCTAACATAGTTAGTATTTTCCATGCATAATAGAATTCAGTCCTCTCAGGTTCCACTGGGTTTACTGGATAAATGTATCACTTATGCCCAAAGAAAGACAGTAAGTTTTATACTTTTTAAAAAATCTTTATTATAAATCAACCAATATTTATTAAAATTTCATTTAGCCCAAAGCATTGCAGTGTCTTGTGAATCAAATATTGAAAAGAAATATCTTGCTCCCAAATAGTTTTTGTTATCAATATACACAAATTAAGTGATGAACTAATAGGTGTGTAAAAAACTTTAATATAGCTGCAAATTATAGAGATGGAGAAGCAGAGTTAGATGACCTGAGCCCTCCCAAGCCACTTGACTCTTAACAAAGCAGGCTTCTTCTCTCTCAGCCTCTGTTATATCATATGAAATGTTGATACAATACCTGCTTGACTCTCATAGATTTATAAAGTTTGTATTCAGTACCAAGAACTTCATTAGGTTTTAGTGGTAAATGATAAGACTAATCTAGCCCATTAAAAAGTTCCATTTGTCTGTAGGAGAATATTCAAACAAACACATGATACAGCGTGATGGTCACAAAGATGCTAAAAAAAGAAAAGCAAACTTGTTTTTTCCTCCAGAATTGTAAACATTTCCTCATCTCCTAATAGGATGCCATATAAAGTATAAAGCACACATTTGAAGTTTTCTTAACAAATGAATTTAACCAATGTGTTCAAAGCCTTTCCTCTAGATTTTAGCTTGCAGGAAATAAAGGAGATTGAAGAACAAGTTAAGTGACACCACAGGAAAGCATTCATCTGAGTCCAGAAGGAGAGGTGTTCAGAAGGACTGCTAGTTTGGTTTCTTTAACAAGCAAATGTCATTTTAAAATGTTAAAGGAATCAGTATTCTTTTACATTAAAACAGTCTTAAAAGACATAGTCTTTGACTATGGTTTGTACAAACCAACTGTAAAAATAATGAGGAGCATAAAGCAAATTTAAAGATAGACTTGGTACTAGAAGATAATGGAAAATTACTAATTTTTAGGAGTGACAATGATGTACTGTTATGTTGATATATCTTAAACTGATTTTTAAAAGGCATGGTATCTTATTTCACATTATGATACAGCAGTAAAAAAACGAATGAACTAATACAGCAAATGTAATGATGGGATGAACATATGGTGTTAATATTATTCTCATTTTCTGTGTCTGCAACTTTTCACAATAAAGATTTAAAACAAAGTAATTAATAGAATACATTTGAAATCACTCTGTGAAAAAGCACTGGGAAAGAGAGGAAGAGTCCTTTCTCAAGCAAATGTGCTTCTTTGGGGTGTGCTGCTAAGGGCAACCAGGCCCGACCACCAAAGACAGGTCACCAAGTAGTCATAGAAAGAGGAACAGGAGCAAACAACACCATCCCAAGATTCCAATCTTTGTAATGCCTCTTTTCAGGTGAAGATGACCTCAACCAAAATGGGAGACAAATATAAAAACTGTGAAAGTCAAGTTAGAACCAGAGTTTATCCAAGGAAAATGAAAAATCTGTAACTATTAAAATGTGAGAGTAACCAAAGAGCTCTGTTTTTTACAGGACAGTAGGATTTGTCCCCCAAAACCGAGCTCTGAAGCCATGGATGATTACCCTTCTTGTCGTCTTATCACTGACCGCGATGGGGGTGACCATTGGTCTTCTGGCTCACTTCTCAGTTTCTGGTAGGTAAAATCAGGAATTTCACTTGGTTTCATCTTATATTTCCACAAATCTTCATTTTCATATATGTAGAAGAAATGTGCTCTGATTTGTGACTGTCCCTGTTCAGAATATTTTGTCTTATATTCTATCATTGCAAAATTTCTGTCAAAACAAATACTTTTCCAGGTGCTGAGGGTATTGCATTAAGTAAAGTGGGAAGTTTCCTGTCTCTGCAGAGCTCCAAATCTAGTACTTTTTAAAGAATATACATGAAATATTCAAAATAGTTATTGTATAAAATTTACTAGCAGAATTTCTGGTAAATAACCCCTACCATGTATTATACACTGAAATGAAAAACTGAAAATTTTTTAAAATTGGCTTTAAAAGACCATTTGTCAAGCAGCATTCCTAGGGCAAAAGAAAAGCACATGTCTAATGAATTTCAAAATGATGGATAAACAATAAATACAATATAATATTATCATTTGTTTTAGAGAAAAAATACTTCACTCTTTCTAGAATAATATTCAATATTATATTTTATT